AAGACAAATTCTTTTATTGGTCAAAGCAAAGTCTTCTTATTGTCAAATCCTCTCAGCCGTTAAAAAGAACAGATCCATTCTGTGGGCTGGTAAGTGTGCTCACTCAGAACAATGACATTTCTGAACCACCTTCCCAGTGGGAAGGGTGCTGCTGACCTACCCATTGGGGCACCACCATCCAGTTGCCAGGCATATAGTACAGGCCACTGTAGGCCAATTTTTACTGTTTTTTATCAGAATTTCTACAAGGTTCACTTGCTTCCTAGTTTTTGCTCAACTTGTTCCATCTGGTTGAAATCTTTAATTTCATCCTCAACTTTTGAAATCCTACTCTTTTGTCAGAGGCCAAGTCAAATGATGCCTCTTCCAAGAGACATTTCTTTGCCTTTTCAGTGGGATGTGATCTCTTCTTCCTCCTCCCCTTCCTCCTGTTCTTCCACCTCCCCATCTTCCTCCCCCTCCTCCTCCTCCCTCTCTTCTTCTTTTTCCTCATCCTCCGTTTCTTTCCCCCCAATTCTAGTTCTCTTTCATTTTAACACTTATAATAGTTTATCTGTACCTTGATTGTGAAGTTATCCTATTTGTCTTTATAACTCGGTACACTTGCCCTGCCTCCGCATCAGACTCTGAGAACTCTGAAGCTCTCAGTGTCTTAATCAACTGTGTAGTCCTCACTGCACCTCACATGAATCAATACAGATCTATCTCCCCTCTAGGATGGGAGACCTATGAGAGCAGTGACTTGGTTTTTATGTTCACCACTCTATCCCCAGTCCCTAGACCACCACCTGTGTTTGCTGTACAAATGTATGAATTGAATGATTGGCTAAATAAATGAATGATTTAATTGAAATGAATTACTTACTAGAAGTTAGAGCACCTAAGAAGCATATTAGGAAGTTTTGGGGATGTCTGTCCGGCTCACAATGACTCCCTTTCTCTAAGAACTCTAACTCTAGCCACTCCAGGCCATGTTTTACCATGTAGCCTCTCTCCCCTAGTCATAATTTCTGGTTTAGGAAAGGAAGCTAACCCAATTGGAGCAATAAGATTCTTCACCAGGAAATTAGGGTTTCAAACTAGCCTTTTCTCTCTGTGTGGTTGAAATTAAGATCCTATAAATCGGGAAATTAATGAAACCATCTCTACTCTGCTATGAGCAGAAGACAAGAAAATTGTCCACAGAGAAGCATGAGTCTATGAGAAGAGAATGGAGGGTGTTTAGAGGACAGGAGTATGCCCAATGTCTGGGTGCGTTTCTTCTTCCTATGCCTCCTCAGTGCCCATCATCCCTTGGAGTCTGACAGTTAGCACAGTATCATTCTAATAATCCCCTATTTTGCTTAGGACTGATCAAGCAGATTGCTTTATTGGTAGCCAAAAATACTTTCACAAAGACAATAGGATTGTTCAATAATAGGATACCAAAGGACATTGAGAACATCAGCAATTTCAAAACCATAATCAGGGAAAAAATTACAGAAAATTCTCTAAAACCAAAATCTAATCAAATATATTTTTAGAGAACCTAGGGGGACATTCTGTACTAATCAGCAAAGAAGGAAACCTAGAAAATTGCTAATCAAGGTTACAACTTTTAAGGCCAAAGATAACATTTTAAAGCCAGCTCAGTGATTGTATAGTTTCATAATCACTTATCCATAATTCCGAAATATTAAAGTTCAGAAAAGCAAAATATTTTGTTTTATGTCAAAATTCAACAAAACCTGATTTGAACTGAAATGAGGCTATTTGTGGTCTTAATTTACCCCACCTTATATAAATACTCATGTTTTGCTGCAGAAATATTAATGTTGGGATGACACGGTCCTGGCCCTGAATCTCTTAGGGGGTGTTACATTAGATACAATTCAGTATGTCCACTGGATTGTCTTAGTAAAATACAGAGAAAAATATATGAGTTTTGGGGCTGGCCTGGTGGCACAATGGTTAAGTTTGCGTGCTCTGCTTTAGCAGCCCAGGGTTCACAGGTTCAGATCCCAAGTATGGACCTATGCAAGGCTCATCAAGCCATGCTGTGGCAGCATCCCATATACAAAATAGAGGAAGATGGGCACCAATGTTAGCTCAGGGCTAATCTTCCTTAGCAAAAAGAGGAATATTGGGAGCAGATGTTAGCTCAGGGCCAATCTTCCTTCCAATCTTCAGGGTTAATCAAAAAAAAAAAGAGAAAGAAAATCTGAGTTTTGAAACATACTTGGCACCAACAGTTTCACATAGGGAGTGTGGGCCTACATATGTAATAACTGAGCAAACGAGTTATTTCCTGTGTACATTATGAGGTAAAGATCCTTTCTTACACATTAGGGAATTATCTCTTTGCCAGATGCACATGAATTGTGACCATGGCCCTTATTCACTTTCCTTTCTTTACTTTGTTCTGCCTCTTGCACACCTTTGGGTCCCTAGGTGCTCTCCTGTCTCTGACCCGAAGCCTGTGGTAGTGGCCAGCTCTGTGTGGATGTGTCCTCATGCAGGTACACCCTGACTGAGTCTGCCCTTGAACCCATGCACCAACACCTGCTTCCCAACTGAGGCTTCTCTGTTGTGTGGCTTTTGTGCATGTACCAGCCAAATGCATGTACAAGTTGGCATTCCATAAGGAGAAACTTGGACCAATGGGCGATGGGAGCTTTTGGGTAAATGCTCCCTCTTTCTCCCATGCAACCCCATGGACAACCTGAGACACATTTCATACTTCTTAATAGACAATCCTATGGGATACAGCAACCAGAGGCCCATAATGTTGACCAGATGATAACGCAGCCTTATTTTGGCTCTCTTCCTTCACTACTCTGCTTCCCTATCCCTCACTTCTCTTCTCTGGGATCACAGTCCCCTATGAACAATCCACACACAAGACTTTGCCTGAGGCTTTGCTCTCTGGGGAACCCAGGCTGACTTAAACACATATGAAATTCTCACAATAATTAAGTTGGAATCAATAAGAACCAGCAAGAAGTTTTTTCATGCATTCCATAAACCTATATCTATAATACACTACATTGTATTATGTGATGTCACATTGTATTATATGGTGCATAATGTTATATTAGACTACCTTGTCATATGGCATCACATTGTGTTATATGATGTCACATGTGGCATGGTGCATGTTGTATGATGTGACATCACCTTGTGTTATATGACATCATGTTGTATTATGTTCCACTTGTGCAGCACACCACATTCAAAACAGCACTTCACCAAAGACGAACAATCACATCTTTATTGGCTGAAGCCCTGGGAAGATCTTACATCGATTTTGCCCCTGTTCCCTCAGAAGAGTTACTGTAACTCTAAGGAAATTGTATTCCACTTAAAATATATGGTCATCAAACTTTTCTCCTAGTCCACCTAACTTTTCAATCAGGGTGAATGTGAAAATATATGTATTTATTCGAGGATCCCCAGATAAAATCATTTGTCCATAAACCCTAACTGAAAACATAAGAAGATTTAAAAGCAGAAAAGAAATAAGCCCCTCAATCAAAGATGCAATAACCACACAAAAACAGATGTTATAGCTTAGTAAAAAGTGTAAACTTCTCAGGCTAAAATAAAAAGTTTCACGGTAATCAAGATTTTTTAAAGTCCACATAGTTAAATACATGACTTTAAATTTTAAACATATTGTCATTTATAAAAAGATCACTGCCAAATGCTAACAAAATTGCATGCAAACTCATATACTTTTTAGTTTTTAAAATGCATGCTATATTCTTTTAAAGTGGAATCTCAAATAAAATTAGAAACAAATAATAAACAAAATAATCTGTGAACACCCAAAAGAATTACCTAACAGAACCCCTCTACCCACAAGACACCAATTTTATTGTAGTTGTTCAATATTACTGATGACCATCTAACACTCTTATGATGATTATAGGTTTACAATGTCAAAATTATATTATGTCTGCAGCAACAATTTCTAGATGCAACCCACCAAAAAAATTAAAATTCATGACATTTTTACCACTCTAGCTTTGGCATTCTTCGTTATTACACCAGGATTCTATGTGGATCAGCTCTCAGGTGTGGATAAAGAGTTTGTTAGAACATGTGAACTTAACCACTGTGCCACCGGGCCGGCCCCAAGAGCTCACTTTTGAAAGAAAACCATGGGTAAAGCTTTTGGTTAAAGAAAATACTCCTTGACACTACCTCAAATCTTTCTCATAAATGTATATTTTTACGTGAGGTGGGTTGTGGACGTGGTTTTTGTTTTGTTTTCTTTTGAAAAAGGCCCCCATAGAGATAAATAGTTAAATGAGTAAGAAAAGTCTAAGGAACGTGGAAAACGTTGATGGAGAGTGGAAGGATGTGGGGGTTAACAAGCTATCTGGTTAGCTCAATGTGTAAGATGGCCATGTCTCAGGAGGGGTCAGGCCCTGCAACCTCGACACAGAGCTTAAGAAAGTGGGGAGTGAGAGCTGTAGTGCGGTGAAAGTAAGGGAAGAGAAACATACGGCAGCAGGTAGGAGAACAGGGTCTGCTGCCTGGGGAAAAGGGATGTACTGTAGAATAAGGAGGGGTGCTGTGTAGACCTGTTGTAATTCTCTGGCCCTTTCACAGTCTCTCATCTAATCATCACGTCAAGTTGCAAAACTGCAGTACTGTGGCCTTGCTGATGTTACCTCCTGTTTCTTCTAGGGGTGCTTCTCAGGGAATGCTTTAAAGATCTGCTTATCAAGTATGATAAAGATGATAATATCTACTCTGTTCCATATCCCTTCTAATGTTAGACCCTGGAGGGCCTGAGGACCCATGGCACTGAGACAGCAGGGGCTGGAGATACATCTCCCTCTACCCTTCCTTCTTCTCCAGAAAACAAAATGGAAGGTAATGCAGAAAGGCTTCCTTCTTCCTGTCTTAGCCCTCCTCACCAGTGTCTGCGAACAAGCTTTGAAACCTTCCCTTCGGGACTGTGACATCAATTGCAAAGCCTATCAACAAAAGCGAACAAAAATTAGACTTACCCAGATCCAGATGAACACCAGGGACAAAGGAATTGAGAAAGAACATGAAGATGACAAATCCCAACACCATCAGGCATTTGGCAAGCAGAATCCTGTTTGATATCCTGTGCTGTGAGAGAGGAAAACAGAACTCATTTACTTGATATAATCTTCTGATTTTTGCGAGGTGTCCATGATCCTACATGACTTGAATCACTACAAATTTCTCCTTATGGCAAAAAATATAACATCTTGAACTCAAAAGAACGTGATAAGGTAATGCATTACAAGTAAAACTGTACAAACTTGGGATTACAGCATTCAAAATTTCTATGAAAAATAAACAGACTAAATTTAAAATACAGTACAATTCTTTTATAAAACACCTCACTCAATAGCTTTTCAAAATGACACAGAGATATTAAGGTGTTCCCAGCCCTATCACCAGTGTTAGGGGAGATGCTGGCAAAGCCATTGGGGAAACAACACACAACCTCCAGGGACCTGGCCCTTCAAGACACATGCATTTCCCCAGGTTCTGTGCACTCACAGCCTTTTAGTTCAACTTTCCATCCTAATTCACAAACCCCTGCTCATGGTAGTACTGAAGTTAACATGTTCTTGCTGAAGGCTCTTATCATGTCCTGTCACATAATACTCACAGGGACCCTATAAGGCACTTAGCAGTCCCTTAAGCACCAAGATGACACCCGTGGGAGCCTGCCTAGTCATTCAAGGGGTGAGGAGAGGTGCCAGAAGGCATGCTGTGCTATGCAGCATCTTCATTAACCTTGGAGTTGCAGACCTCCTTCCAGTGGTCCTGAGCCACAGGGCAAGATGGGGCAAGGTCCCCAAAGGGTGCAAAGGGCTACGGCTGTGTGGGGCTGGGCAGGGAGTGAGGTCCCAACAAGCAAGCACAGATGGGAACAGGGTCATCCTGCCCCACCTTACCAGGTCCCTGTGCGAACCATGCTCTACCATGTGAACTGACAACTACACAGTCTCCTTTCATAAGTGTGATCCCAACAGCACATTTGTCTGTCTATGTCTCTCTCTATCTAGAATTAGATATATAGAGATATAGAGATATAGATATAGATATAAATATAGATATGAGTATAGATATAGGTATAGATATGAATATAGACATGGACATAGGTATAGATATAAATACAGATACGGGAATGAGTGAGGGTATGGATAAGGACATAGGTATAGATATGGGCAGAGATAGAGATAAAAGTAGAGAGAGAGAGTACAGGTATAGGTATATAGGTATAGAGACAGAAAGATAAAGATAGAGAGATATATATTTTCTCTCTTGATTTCTCTGTCACACAGTTAAAGCTGCTGCCATAAAAACTACAAGCTATCCCTACATGTCGCAGCGGCTCTGGCTGAAGCCCGTGGCCCCTACTCACAGGCCATGGGGGCCACCTCCTGAGCACCTGCCCCCTTTCCCCATGCACTGCCAAGGCTCATGGCTCAGCTGGCCCCCATTCATCTTCCCCTTCCCACCTCCAAGGAAGGCCAATTTTGCTAGATGAGTCCATGATGGAGAATTAGGGGGACAGGGCCATGGCACCTCTGTGGGTGTAAGGGGAGGTACTGCAAACCTTCCCTGGAGCCATGTTAATCACAGAAAGTGGGTATTATCGTGGCCATTCCCAGGATTGGAAATGGATGGAGCAGGCAGGTCAAAGAATGTTCTAGCACTGCTTGGCTGGTATATGTGGAGATGATCCCAAGTTTGTGTTTATTTGTTATTTTAAGTGTCTGTCAAATTTTCTCCTTTTGACTCTCTGGGTTATCACAGTAAGAACTCTTAGATGCAATACAGGGCTATTGCCAAGCTCCTTACCTCTCCCTTCCACCTCTCCCCAATCCTTGTCTACTATGTACACAGAGAGGTACACAGTCTCTTCCCTAACTTGTAGACAGAACTACATGTTCTAGCAAGGCGGGAAGGGTCTGTATAAACCTGGGGCCCAGAAAAGTGTTGTAGCCACACCTTTCTTTCCTAACCCTAGCCATCTGAATGGGACAGAGATTGGGAAGAGAGACCCAAAGAACGTGTTACCCACCAAGACCCCACTGTCTAAATTTCCTTTAGAAAAAGACAAAATGTTCCTATCAGGATTAAAGAGTAGGTATTCAATCTCTTCCTAGGAAAGAAACTACCCAGATTTGAAATTTCACAAAGATACAAATGACTCCCAGGAGATCTTGAGCAGAGCTCTCTCAGCTGGGAGAGGGACACTATGTGTCCTCAATGGGCTGAGAAAGTCCGCCAAAGCAGGAAAATGAACTAAAGGACCCAAAATGAGCTTTGCCCCTAGAAGGAAGAGCCATATGATAGAACACACACACACCCCATCTCTGCCCCTAAAGCTGTTCATCTCACATAGCCTCTCCATCTTGGCCTCCATCTGCTCACCATACAGTGGGAACCACAGCCCTACCTTTCAGGAACAGTGAGGGCTGCAGGAGTCTCAGGTACAGCCAACCTGTCCTGCAGTCACATTAACCATAGAAGGGGTCACCCTATCTTAAAGAGAACATAAAAACTTTAACTTTCAACTTCTGGAGAAAATAAGCCTAGCATGTCTAGAAATGATTTTCCCCATTAACTCCTGGAAATAACATATGTCTTGTATACAACTACAGGAATAAAAAGATAAACGACTTCCAGTAGTAACTTCATATGAAACAAAGAGAAAGAATCACTCTCTTCTTCAAGAGGTGAGTCAGAAATCCCTGAGAAAAGAAACCATGATACCTTTTTTTGTAGCTCCTGGATATTGGTCTCCCAATTTTTATCTTCTTGTGAGATTTGTCTAAAAGAGAAAAGGGAAGACTCACTATTTTCCTAGTGATATCACGCAGTGAGATCAGCAGGGTGGCAGTCAGCAGCATGTTTAGCAGGGGCTCCGGGCCCAGACGCCGTCCACTATGTGACACCTTGTGCAGCCATGTAATGGGGCACTCCAGTCATAGAAGGTGCCCAGTGGAGCTGGGTTTATAGATTTTGAAAGATGCTCACTCCATATTTCCAAAGAAAAATAATACACGAAATGACTGGAATGTTTAATGAAGTGTGTGCAAGTATACGTGTGAGCATGAGCACAGGACACATCAGGAAGAAATACTGGCCAAAGCGTGACTAAGGGGAATGGCCAAAAGCCACCTTTGTTCTCCTCTTTTCACTTTCTACTTTTCTCATTTTTTTTTTCAAAATGAGGATATGTTACCATTACAACTAAACTAATCAAAAGAAAAAATAGTGAAAGAAATGCCACTTGCTTTAGTGGCAACTTTTATCAATTGAAAATCAATTTTGAAGCTCTTTCATGTCCTCCTCCTCCCTCTTCTGGTCGTGGTACCCTCCCATCTCTGTTTCAGTCCCCTCATTGGTTCCAACTGGCCTTTTATTTTTAACTTTTTCTATCAGCCCATCTTTACTGCTTTATTTTTTCCCCCACCAATTAGGGAAAAGAAGCTGTTGGTGGGGGGGGGGGGGGGGAGGAATTTAGTTTTAATGAGCACTCACGTGTAGTAAGTGTCAAAGGCAGCTGACCACACAGACCTAAAGGGAATCACGGTAGACCCAGGCAAATGATTCTGAGGACGATTTGTTAAAAGAAAATGTGGAAACAAGACTAGCAGAGTTAGCACTTGCCTTAGATTGCCCTCATTCTAATCTGCTCCTCAGTGATGTGTGGCCTTGTGAAGCCACTGCCCTCTCTGGGCCCCAGTTTCCTTCTCTGTGATTCACACAGCACAGGATGAGCTGGCAGAAACTTGGTGAATCTCTGAGCCCACATGTTTCTTCACATTTGTAACCTTGAGATACTCTCAATATATCTTTAACACCCCAGACCAGATGAAGCTCACTGAAACTTGAAGGTCAGTAGGTTAAATACATTCAGGGAAATTTACTTCTGCATCTTTAATTTACAAAGTTTCTACTTTTAAGATCCATGCATGTTATTGAAGTTGGTCATTCTGTCCCCAGCCTGCAACTCAGGGCCTTCCTATAGCCTGAGGACACCAGGTCCTGCTTCTCCAGCATCTCAGAGGGTGGAGGTGGGTCCTGGGCTGGGATTGAGCTGATGCTGCTGAGAGAGCACCTCACCCTGGGCTGCATCTCTGAATACAGCAAGTCTCCACATGCTCACCTTCTCCCTCCACTAACAGACCAGGCTGGGAGACAGCCACGCTGTGTGACCTTCCAGAGTCAGTGCTGGCCCTGCACCTGGTTCCTCCTCAGCCTGATTGCCCACTCTCTGGAAACGCAGGGCTGGTTTCAGCAAACTGCAACGTGTAAGATCATTCTCACTGCGTTCACAAGGATTCACATTTCCCCTTGCCTTGACAGACTTCTCATCTCCACCCAGTTCCCAGCTCCGCTGCAGGAATGCCTCAGTGTCCCCAAGGATCAGGTCCCTGCTTTTCCTGTCAGCACTTCCAGGGTGAAGACAGGCTGGGACTCAGCACTTCGTCCAAGTCGGGAGGAAAATCTCACCAACTTGTTGGTTCCCTTTATGTATCAGCTTTGATTAAAACCAAATTCCAGAAAGCGAATTGAGTAGGATTCGGGTGTTCTTTGAGCTCCCTGAAAATCAAATACTGAGAGAATATTTTGTTAAATTAGCTTGTTATATTAACTGTTTTTGATTCTTGTTATGCAACAAGCATTACATGTGGAGGTGTGACAGGCAGCAGCTGAGTGTGGACTCAATCCCCGGCGTCACTCTTTCCTAGCTGTATAATCCCGGGCAAGTTGTTCAAATTCTATGAGCCTTAGCTTTCTCACCATTCCAGAGAGCTAAGGGAGGGTTGGATAAAATAATGCCCCACAAGAGGCTTAGCACAGTGTATGGCATCCAAACTTACTCACTGGCATGCAGCCAGCATTACTATTTTGCAGTACCATGGAGTACTCTGAAGAACAGTGATTTTAACTCGATTTGTACACTCTATGACATTGGGACACTACTGGGGTGGTAGTAAATAGGTTGTTGACACAATCCAACCATTGAGCACAACTGTTAAAGATGAGAACCACTTTTGTAAACCGAGTGGCCCAAGCAGCCTGGCCTGATACCTGTGGAAGGTGCGCAGCCTGCAGGCCAGCAGGCGCTCCAGTGCCAGCACCTTCCCCAAGAGCAGGTCACGCACCGCTGTCTCCTCACGGCTGGCTGGGCTGATGCGCTGTGCAGTCAGGCGCCAGACGTGGATCTCGTGCTTCAGTTCTGTAGGAAAGGAAAGGCGAGGCGTGAGTCTCCAGCAACCCCAGATGTCAGCTAACACCCGACTCCCCTCACCACCTTCCAAGAACAGGAAACACGCACCTGATGACACACAGATAACCAAGGGCCAAACCAAAGCAGAGGTTTCTTAGCATTCAGATTATTGTAATGGGACCAGAAGACAAAGCTGACTTTAAAAAATTACCATGGATCCAAAGAAATGCAACTGCAACTCTTTGAGGGAAGAGTAAATTCTTGAATAGGCACATCAAAGCTAGTACCCAACAACCTTTTCCCCTCCCAGCAAATTACTTCTTGCAGCCAGTAGTTCAGGTCCTGCTTTGGCCCAAATCCAGATACTGTCCAATCTTTGAAACAGATCTAGTGAACATCACAAATACAAGTGTAGTTCTCAGTCAGTGGTGCCTGGGGCTCCCCGAAAGGGCATTTGGTAAGAGCAGAAGACGAGGAAAGCCCTCCCTCCTGAACAGGCCTCCCAAGTTGAACTTGTGTCTATGAAAGGACACAGGTGAGAGAGATGTAGACAATCTTATAAAATACTGAAATTAATAGAACGGGGTAAATTTTCAACCATCAATGAATTATGACACCTTCTGATATAGAAAAGTAGAGAGAAATGAATTGTCAATTCATCAGCTCCTAAAATACTAAAATCTTTTACGAAAATTTTCATTTAACCTCTATTTTACCATTAAAGATACTATATAAATTTCTCAGAATATCCACTACAAAAACATAAGGAAGCACAATATTTTCATGAATCACCTATGTGCAATGCACTACACCACATATCACAAATATTCAAGATGAAATTAAGGTACTGATCTCTTACAAGCAGGACTAGAGCACTTGACAACTAGCTCAGGGTGGAGGCAAGGCAGGCAGTTATCCAAAGACCTGTGAGGTAGCATGCACATGCAAGTTCAATGACAAGGAAAACACCATCTTTTAAGCTCCCTCTATTCAGTACACAAGTGTTGATCACCTACTATGTGGCAGACCTAACTATAAACACTGAGAAAACAAATATGAACTTGGCATAGAGAGGCAGACTGTAAATGAAGCAAGTCAAGACTCAGACGAGAGAACCACAGAGTATAAGAGCACTCAAACTCTCTCAGTTGACATGTGGTTTCTCTAAAGGGTAACCCTTACAAAGATGAAAACTCTTTAGAACTAAGATGCTTACTATGCTTTCAACCAGTACATAGTGATACTTTGTAACTTGCTAAAATAAAATAAACTTTGGAATAATTCAAAAGTCTCCACAGAGAAACAGATCCATAATTTCCTTTTGGAAAGTCTCACACCTCATTAAACACCCTATGAGGTTATGATAATATAAAAAGGAGGAGCAGGAGGAGGAGGATAAAAACGAATGAACTAGCCTTCTAACATGTGAGCATGAAAACCCCATGCCGGGACAGGGAACAGGAGAAGATGTTGTGCCGAGGCTTCAGTGAAGGTTCAGACAGTGCCAGTATTTCACTCAATGCTCTGAACCTCATTATGTACAGGATATCATTCAAAGCCCATCCATAAAGTACTTGAGATTTTCCGGCCATTCTTTCAAAGCATCCTGGTGATGGACACTTTCCCAAACAGCTGATCAAATTTGAAGGGCTACACAGGAGCATGGCTTGGCTCCAGGGCTGGCCCATGGGCACAGGTGGGAGTCCTCTCCACATCTGTGTTTGGAGAAGCAATAACTGGCAGCCACTGCCATGTCTGTGAAGCTGGTCTTCCTGGTCCCTTGGGCTCCTTTCTGCAGGTGTCCTCTCCAGAGGCAGCCTCAGGCCCTTCATGCACACCCAGAGCCCAGCTGGCTTCTACCCCACCAAATCAAATAGGGCAAGCTACTCTACCCAGTTCAATCCATACATTAACTTTTGTTTTCCTAACTGTGAAATGAAATACATCATCAATTATGAGGGCATGTATTTGAGAGAGATTTTTCCCAGGAGAAGGGAGCTCATTGCCTGCACCCAGAACTGAGTTTACCCAGGCACATTCACTCTTCATTTTCTGGACTTCCTCTGCGCCTCCTCTGCCATTTCCCCACCCTGTCTCCTCTGCTAAGCTCTAAGACCATGGTCCCACTGGGCTACTTGATACTGCCCTCTGAATTTTGTACTGCAATTCACAGACAAACATTCCACCTTCCCCCACAAAACTCTCTGTCCTCTCAAGTTCTTAATTTTTATATGATATCATTAATCTTCCTGGTATATGAGCCTGAAATGTCATTTTGGTCTTATCAATGTCATTCTCCTCTATATCTCTGCATTAACCTTATTGGACATGTAATAGGTGCCAGAAACCATGCTAGATGCTAAAGGAGAAAAATAAATTGATAAGTTACAGGACAGATCTCCAACAACTAGAAAGAGATATGATATATCATTAAAATCATGAACCAGGGAAGTATTGGGCCACAAGAGCAATTCAGGATATGCTGGTGTGGTTCTTGTAGAGTCCACTTGTTCCTGTCTGAAGTCACCAACTTGTTCAGGTCTCATCTCCTCACACTTGCCGATTCTGATTGCTCCTCACTAACCTTTGACTGGAGTCACTTCCTACCAATCCACCCCTGGTTAATCATAAAACACTGCTTGTCCTGTCTATCTATCTATCTACCTACCTACCTATCTATCTATCTATCTGCAGAAGCTATCCATCTATCTAAATATTTACAGTTAAATAGATAGATATATAGAAAGAAGAAATCTATTTATCTTCCTATTTACCTATCTTCTAGGAAGACAGATCTGTCTAAGTTGATCTATCTAGGAAGATAGACAGACAGATAAACAGAGATATAGATAGATAGATAGATGATAGATAGATAGATAGATAGATAGATAGATAGATAGATAGATAGATAGATTTCTCCTTTCAAATATTCAGTGGTTGCGGAATCTGCAGTTACATCAAGCAACCCAAAATTGGAGGTCCTTACAACCAAGAGTGACCCAGAGCAATCACCCTGACTCTGCACAGCCTGCTCTGTGCTGATTTACAGCCTGTCTTGGCAGTGCCATAGGGTTTCAGCATTATCCAAGTTCTTCTACTTCCAACCATCCCCTCCCACTTCACTCAAAGCTTTTCTCAGCTACTTACTCAGGAAGAGTGGAGGAACTGATTATACAGATTTGTTTTCTATTCTTCTAAATCCATGTATCCCAAATTCATCTCAAGATAAGACTCTCCAGAAAAGCTTATTAACAGCACAAAATTCCTGGGAGTAGGACTGATAATCTACACATATAACAATTATGATCACCAGGGAGGTTGTGGAGAGCTGGCACAACTGGAAAAGATAACTGCTCAGCTGTCCACTGAGGTGCAGCTGTGCCTACACAAGCTTCAAGAGACAGATTATCCATTGTGATTGTTGATTATCCATTGTGATCATAATCTCCATATACTAGTTGATGATAAAACATTATGAATACCTCTAACTGCTTGATATGGGTTGAATTGTGTCCCCCCCAAAAACAATTCATGTATTGAAGTTCTAATCCCCAGTACCTCAGAATGTGATCTTATAGGATCACTGCAGGTGTAATTAGTTATGATAAGGTTATTAAGTTCCCCCAAATCCAAGAGGACTTGGTGTCCTTATAGATGGAGGAAATATGGACACAGACACACACACAGAGTATGCCACATGAACATGGCCACTGAAAAGCCAAGAGAGAGGCCTGGAACAGATCCTTCCTCACTGACAACCAACCGGCAGGCACCTTGATTTTGAACTTCCAGCCTCCAGCATTGTAATGAAGTAAATTTCTGTTGTTTAAGCCACACAGTCTATAACATTTTGTTAGAGCAGCCTAAGCAAACTAATACACTAGCCAATGACAAAAGTGGATCAAGGCATCTCATTGCCAAAAATATCTCTTTGTTTAAAAAAAAAAAAAGGAAGCATTGATTAAATTTTTCTTCAAAATAAGGAAATAATGGAATCACTTGTAGTTGTTCCCTTCCTAATAAAGCTGTAAAAGGACAGCACGATCTGGGACTCTTTTTTTCTCAAGAAAGGCATGTGTTCTGCTCTGTAGACCACCAAGGGGTGAGGATTTATCAATGCTATCAAGAAAATGCAATCCTCTTCCAATGAAGTAAACTATGCTCCATAGAAGGAAGCTTTCATGGTCCTGCTACCAAAAGGACTTTCCCATTTGGCCCCTAGCACCTGTGCCCTCATCCTCCTTTCCCTACAGCCCCCCTGCACTAGGCTTACCACCAATAGCTCAGGACCTATTTGGTGGGGCCCATGCTGATGCCTGTCCCCAGTAAGCAGGTGGAGCACAGGCAGTGTGGTCACGTCCTATACTTACATTGCCTTTACTCAGGTCTAGGCTGAGGGACTGCCTTGGGAACTTCCTGTTGCTTGATTGTGTTTAAAGAACCATTTTTATATCCACAAGGCACTCCAATTTTTTGTGCATTCAGTAGATAAATATGGCCTAAAATAGAAATTTCTGCTTATCATCCAATTTACCTGGCAGAAGCAAGTAACTAAATCTTACTAGGAACAAGCTTGTTTTATACAGATGACTATTGAGAAGGTATATAAGACAATGTTTTCCTAACTAGAACAAAAATAGTCAAATTCTGAAGACAAAAGTCACACGTGAAAGAAAGGCAAATCTTCCTTGTATAGATACCATCTGATTAGCAGAAGGGCTGGCAAGAACATGCTTAAATCCTCAGCTATTCATCTGGAAATGGGATTTGGTTATCCTACCAAAAATAAAGAAAACTTCAAGTCATGTACAACACAAGGACAGAGGAATAAGACAGGATGAGAGAGGTAAACATACAATCTGTAAGCTCTGTGAGGACACGTGTGAACCACGTCAGCTGAAACCAGAGAGGAAGAAATGCACTTTCATCACTGTGCTCCTGTCACCCAGATGCACTCTGTTACCCAGGCAACCTGCACAGAGTCCTGCACAAGGCCTGGCCAAGGAGAGGCTGGTTGTCTCCGAAATAATCTATTGCTTCTAATATGTCCTGGTCAGTAATATTCTCAATAAAACTTCTACTAAGATTTTTAAGTGGGGAAAATGCAAAACCAGAAGATGGCCACAATCCCTCTTCCTGCTAGAGGGTGGCCCACCGATACACTCTTTTTTTTTTTTTTAAAGATTTTTATTTTTTTCCTTTTTCGCCCCAAAGCCCCCCGGTACATAGTTGTATATTCTTCACTGTGGGTCCTTCTAGTTGTGGCATGTGGGACGCTGCCTCAGCGTGGCTTGAGGAGCAGTGCCATGTCCACGCCCAGGATTCAAACCAACGAAACACTGGGCTGCCTACAGCGGAGCACGTGAACTTAACCACTCAGCCACAGGGCCAGCCTCCGAATACACTCTTGACTAACATGGTATATTATCCCCTGTGCTGGATTATGTTGCCATTTTTGTAGTCGCATTTAATCTCAAACTACAACATAATAGAACACCACAGTCTATAAGCTATGCTATTTGTATTGTATACATGTGATGTTGTCAAGATGTCATGACATGCGAGCTGTATACAGCGGCCATTGCTTCCCACATTTCACTGTACAGAAAACTAAAGAGGCATGGCTCATGGATTTAAAGCATATTGTGTACCAGAAAGCAGATAGAGACATACTGAGTGGGCAGCATCCACTCACTGATACTTCCCTGATGTTCTACGTGTGATAAACCTCCTGCCTTTTTGTGGCAACTTCCCCAGAGGAAAAATAGTATTGTGGTAGTAACCTCTGAGGCCATATGAGAAGGTGCTTACACTCACCGACAATCTCACTGGGTTCCTTGTTATAAAGCTTTTTGTTCCAGTAAAGGAGTCTGAGGAGTGGAAAGGAGAACAGGAGAACGAAGCAAATACCAACGAACATGTGCGCTGTGAATCCTGCGAAGTCCAAGCCCTGGAGATAGGAAAGGAGACATGAAATGACAGATAAGCCTGTCCTCTGCACAGGTGTAGCCCCCACTCAGGGATCCCCCCACATCAGGAATCCAGAGAGGGCTAAGTGCTGAGCCCAAGCATGGGAGGCCAGCGTTAGCTCAAGGACCATGGAGTGCAGCACAAAGCTCACAGAAGAACAGGTGCTCTTCTCCAAAGTTCTAAAAACGTCTGAAGTTTGTTTCTTTCATGTCAAAAAACCAACTCTTACCTAAACTGACAAACAAACTTGGGAGGAAACAAAAACATGCCATCACATGTAATCCCAACCTTGGCTGGGTCTACCTTCACCAGTGGACTGACACATTCCCCCAAAATGAAAATAAAACAGAGGGAGCAAAACATAAAACAATGTTGCAATATTTGCCCATTTCAAGGTAAATTGGGTTTTTTAAATATTTCACATAAGCCCCTGCCATCAATTTGAAAGAGCATCCTCATGCTTGGAGAGCAAAGCCCTCTGCAGGCTGCCCAGTGGCCATCAGGATTGTGGCTGCCCAGAGTGTCCTGACTAGCCTCAAGTATCCCAGGCAGGAGCCCTCTCCTCCCCACTCTTCTGTTGCCTGTCTGCAGGGCTATTTGCCATGGTCAGCTGCTGGGACATCTTTGTTGTTGGGTAAAATCCCCATTAGGTTTAATATGTCAGGAAATAAGTCAACAGCATCATTGGTTGGTTTTGTTCTTTCATTAACTTTGTGCTTATACCATTAGTATGATAGATGAGGCTACTGTCTGCATGAAGCTGGCTGTGAGAAACAGCTTCTCACTGGTGAGAACTCCAAGGCTTTTTTGTAGTGTTCATGGACCCCTGGTGCCACTAAAGGACATCAGAGGTCCAATGATCAAGCACAAGTGTGAGGGAAACCCCAGGGTATGAGGGACCACAGGGGTGAAGCAAGAGTGGTTTCACAGAACATGGTCAGTCTAGCTCTGCACTGGAGGCTGCAGGGGAGGCATTCACATTGCAGGTGGGAGGCTAGGTCCCATGGGATGTCAGAGAGGATCTCATGAGATGTGCCCAAGGAGGGAGTCAAGAAGATCACCTTCCAAAAGACTGAGTTGGAAGGAGTGATTTCAACTATATTAATTGTTTATTAAAATTAACTTATTTGGAGCGACATCAGCATCATGGCAGAGTAAGCTTTCCAGAGACACTCTCCCCTCCAACATACAACAAAAAGGAGCAACCACATTCCAATGGAAAATACCCTGAAAGCACAAAAATCCTCAGAGAGTCACGGCAGCCACACGACAGAGGGCAGAGAGGCTGGAGTGCCCCTTGGAGAAGCTGGAACAGGGTAAGAGAGATCTTTGAGCCCTCCCCAAAGACTGTGGTCACTGCTGCAGGAGGCTCCAGGAGGGAAAGAGTGGGGGAGGGGTCATGGGTCCGCAGGATCACTCAGGGCTCCCTAGGGCCCTTGCAGCCTATAGGGAAGCCCTTTAACGGGATGAAAGCTTTCACACAGGGATGACTTCATCAAGCCAAGCCCCAGGAGACCCGATAGCAACAGCGGATCAGAAACGGGGACTGCACACAGGAGAAAGCGCCCCTCCTCTGACCTGCACCACGCCATCTCGGCTGAAGGCAGAGGCTCAGAATATGTGGCTTGCGACCCCCACCCAGTGGCGACAGGCTGTAACTGCAAGCGAATAATATCACAATGGGAAAGACTCGTCCTTCCAGCATCAGGCAATTCATCAAATCTTCAGACCAGAGAGAAAACGACAAGCACCCAGAATTCAGCCCTGAGGACACAGAAATAAGTAAACTAAACAACAATGAATTCAAAATAGCTATCATCAAAAAACTCAATGAGGTAAAAGAGAATATAGAGAAACAATTCAACGAGTTTAGGAGCTACTTCACAAAAGGGATTGAAACTATAAAGAACCAATCAGAAATATTAGAGATGAAAGACACAACAGAAGAGATAAAAAAAAATACGGATTCCCTGAATGTTCGTGAGGACAACACAGAAGAGTGAATCAGCATAACCAAAGATAGACATATTGAAATGCTTCCAGACAGAGGAGGAGAGAGAAATGAGACTAAAAGGAAATGAAGAAAGTGTCCAAGAAATATCCGACTCAATGAGGAAATGCAACATAAGAATTATAGGTATTCAAGTTGAAGAGACAGGGAATGAAGCAGAAAGTGTGGTCAAAGAAATAATAGAAGAGAACTTCCCAAATCTAGGGAATTAGAGGGAAATGTGTGTGGAGGAAACTTTCAGGTCTCCTAGATTTGTGAATGTAAAAAGACCTACTGCAAGGCATATAGTAGTAAAAATGGCAAAAATGAATGACAAATAAAGAATACTCAGGGCAGCAAGGCAGAAGAAAATAACCTACAAAGGAACCCCTATCAGACTTTCAGCAGATTTCTCTACAGAAATCTTACAGGCTAGGAGAGACTGGAGTGACATATTCAAAATTTTAAAAGATAAGTATCTTCAGCCAAGAATACTCTATCCAGCAAAAATATCCTTCAGATATGAGGGAGAAATTAAATCTTTCCCAGACAAACAAGAGCTAAGGGACTTTGTAGCCACGAGATCACACCTACAAGAAATCCTCAAGAAGGCCCTCATACCTAAAAAAAAGAAAAAAAGGAACAAAGGGGGTCACAAAACAGAGAATAAGTAGACAAATGATAGACAGAATCAGAATAGGATAGCAAATACTCAACTATAGCATTAGGCTAAAGGGAAGGAAAACACCAAAAACAAAGACAATCTTGTTACTTTAACCACAAACTCACAACAAAAGTTGAATAAGATATGAGAAAAACAACTTAGGAGGGGAGGAGGAAAGGGACTGAAACAGTTTAGACTGAGGAAATAAGAGGCCATCAGAAAATGGACTATGTTATGCACGAGATTCTGAAAACAAACTTCAGGGTGGCCACTAAACTAAAAAGCACAACAGAGACACAAATAAGAAATAAGGAAAAAACGAAGAAACACACCTTAAAAAACCGCATAATTCAATGGGTAGACCAAAACGCATGGGACAAGAAACAAAGGAAATGCAAGAAAACTGGAAAAGAGTCATATAATGACAGCATTGAGCCCTCATACATCAATAATCACCCTCAATGTAAACAGACTGAACTCTCCAATAGAAAGACACAGAAGGCAGGATGGATTAAAGAACAAGATCCAACAATTTGTTGCCTCCAGGAAACACATCTCAGCTCCAATGACAAATACAGGCTCAGAGTGAAGGGGTGGAAGACAATAATCCAAGCTAATGCCAAACAAAAGAAAGCAGCTGTCACAATACTTATATCAGACAAAGTAGACTTCAAGAAAAGGCAGGTAAAGAGAGACAAAGAGGGGCAGTATATAATGATCAAAGGGAGATTCCATCAAGAAGAAATAACCCTTATAAATATCTATGCACCAAACACAGGAGCACCAAAGTTCATAAAGCAACTATTAACAAACCTAAAAGAAGATAACACAATAATAGAAGAAAATAGAATAGAAGAAAATAACACAATAATAGTAGGGGACCTCAACCACACTCACATCATTGGACAGATCATCCAGACAGAAAATCAACAAGAAAACAGTGGAATTAACTGAAAAGCTAAAACAGTTGGACTTAATAGACATATATAGAACACTCTATCCAAAAACAGCAGAATACACATTCTTCTCAAGTGCACATGGAATATTCTCAAGGATAGACCATAGGTTGGAAACAACAGAAGCCTCTACAAATTTAAAAAAATTGAAAAAATAAGCATCTTCTCCAATCATAATGCTATAAAGCTAGAAATTAATTACAATAAGAAAGTTGAGACAGGGACAAAGATGTGGAGACTAAACAATATGCTATTGAACAAGCCATGGATCATTGAAGAAATTAAAGAAGAAATCAAAAAATATCTGAAGACAAATGAAAATGATTACATGCCATACCAACTCATAGGGGATGCAGCAAAAGCCATATTAAGAGGGATATTCATCGTAATACAGGCACATCTTAACAAACAAGAAAATTCCCAAATAAGCAATCTCAAATTACACCTAAGTGAATTAGAAAATGAAGAACAAACAAAGCCCAAAGTGAGCAGAAGGAGAGAAACAATAAAAATCACAGCAGAAATAAATGCTACTGAAACAAAAAAGGCAGTAGAAAGGATCAATGAAACAAAGAGCTGGTTCTTTGAGAAGATAAATAAAATTGACAAACCCCTAGCCAGACTTACAAAGAACAAAGGAGAGAAGGGTCAAATAAACAAAATCAGAAAAGAAAGGGGAGAAATAACAACAGGCTCCACAGAAATACAATGGATTATAAGAGAATATTATGAAAAATTATATGCCAACAAAATGGATAACTTAGGGGAAATGGATAAATTCTTAGACTCTTACAACCTCCCAAAGCTGAGTCAAGAAGAAACAGATAATCTGAACAGACCAATCACAAGGAAAGAGATTGAAACAACCATCAAAAGCATCCCAAAGAATAAAACCCCAGGACCAGATGGCTTTCCTGGGGAATTCTACCAAACTTTCAGAGAGGATTTAATACCTATCCTTTTCAAGCTATTCCAAAAAATTAGGGAGGATGGAACACTACCTAACACATTCTACGAGGCCAACATCATTCTGATACCAAAGCCTGACAAGGACAGCACAAAAAAGGAGAACTACAGGCCAATATCGCTGATGAACATAGATGCAAAAATTCTCAACAAAATTTTGGCAACCCGAATTCAGCAATTCATCAAAAGGATCCTACATCATGATCAACTGGGATTCATACCAGGGACACAGGGATGGTTCAACATTCGCAAACCAATCAACATTGAGGAATAAAAACCATATGATCATCTCAATAGATGCATGGAAAGCATCTGACAAGATCCAACAGCCATTTATGATAAAAACTCTTAAAAAATGGGGACAGAAGGAAATTACCTTAACATAGTAAAGGCCTTAAATTACA